AGAAAATCTCATTGTAGTCAACTCCTTCCCTCTGCGAGAAGCCACGTGCAACCACCCAAGCTTTACATTTCATGCCCTCTTTAGAAGTGATTCCTTCCTTCTTCTTGTAGATCCACTTGTTTGTAACAATCTTCCTTCCCTGTGGTCGTTTGACTAGCTCCCAAGTGTGATTCCTGTCATGGGATTCCATCTCATCTCCCATTGCGGCAAGCCACTGATCAGCTTCGCCACCCGAAACGGCTTCTCTATAGGATTGTGGCTCACCTGCATCCACTTCTTCAGCAACCTGAAATGAATACGCCACCATGTCCTCGAAACCATACCTCTCTGGAGGTACTCCTGCAGTCGCTCTCTTTGGTATACCGGAAGCTATAGACTGTTGAGCTCCTGCACTAGACTTTGAAGTTTCTGGCTCTGTAGAAACATCCTCATGTTGATCTTCTCCACCTTGGTGCTCAAACTCACTCTCATTGAGAGTTTGCAGCTCCACCTGCTTATCAACATTCATGCTACCTTCAACAACAGTAACCTTCAACATGGGGTTAAACATAGACTTCTCATCAAATATCACATTTCTACTAAGTATAACTCAATGCTCAGAAGGTGACCAGACTCGAAATCCCTTAACTCCATCTCTGTAACCCACAAATACATCCTTCTTTGCCCTTGGGTTCAGTTTACCCTCATCCACATGATAATAAACAAGACACCCAAAAAATTTCAGTGAAGAGTAATCAGCAGGCTTACCATACCACACTTCATAAGGAGTCTTAAACTCGATACCTGTGTGAGGTCCACGGTTGATCAGGAAGCACGCATGTTCACTGCTTCTGCCCAGAATCTTCTCTCTAGTCCAGCATTAGAGAGCATGCACCATGCTCTCTCCAACAATGTCTGGTTCATCCTTTCTACAACGCCATTCTGCTGGGGTGTATCTCTCACAGTCCGATGACGGGCAATCCCTTCATCCTTGCAGAATTCGTTGAACTCGGAATTACAGAACTCTAGACCATTGTCCGTTCGCAACTTCTTGATCATCTTCCCGGTCTGATTCTCCAGCAATGTCTTCCACTGCTTGAACTTCGTGAAAGCCTCACTTTTCTGCTTCATCATGAAAATCCAAGTAAATCTTGAATAATCATCAATAATAGACAGAAAATAATTGCTGCCTCCAATGGATTTAACTCGTGAAGGACCCCAACAGTCGGAGTGGAGGTAATCCAGTATCCCCTTCGTCCGGTGGATACCCTTCTTGGGAAACTTGTTGCGATATAGCTTCCCAAACACACAATGCTCGCAGAATTCCAAATTCTACACCTTGTGCCCGCAAAGAAGATCCCTCTTCGATAGAACTTGCATCCCTCGTTCACTCATATGCCCCAGTCTCATGTGTCAAAGAGTGGTCATATCTTCCTGATGAACCTGATACGATGCAACTGCAGTAGAACCAGACAACACAGACCTTGTAATGCATACAAGGTCTCACGCTTCACGCCCTTCAGCACCTTCCTTGAACCTTTGCAGACATACACAACTTCACCTTTCCCTTTGAAACTGAAACCCTTGCTGTCGAGTAGACTCAAGGAGATCAGGTTCTTTATCATTCGTGGAACATGCCTGACATCATTCATGGTACAGAACGAACCATCATGTGCCCGAACCTTTATGGACCCGATTCCAACAACCTTGCAGACAACTCCATTTGCCATGACCACGTTACCACCATCTATCAGCTCGTAGGTTGTGAAGCAATCCCTGTTCGGAGACATATGGTATGAGGCTGCAGTATCCAGAAACCACACATACCCACGATGTGCCTTCTCATCTACAACCAAGGCGAGATCGTCTTCAGAACTGTTGTCCACTTCTGCCACGACAACTGAATCTTGTTTCTTCTGTTACCCTCTTCTCCTGGGATAGTTGTACTTCAATGCCCCACTTCCTTACAGTTGTGACAAGCATCACCTGGTTGTGGACCTCCAGGACCGGGACCCTTGGAATTCTTGTTCGAATTCCCTTCAGTAGATTTCTTCTTTCCCTTTCCACCTGTAACAGCCAAACCTGATGCCTCACCACCTGTACCAGATCCGGATGCCTTATGCCTGATCTCTCTCGTAAGAAGAGCAGACCTGACATCCTCCAACGACACGCTTTCTTTACCAGCAATAAAAGAATCAACGAAATTCTCATATGAACTCGGCAAAGAAACCAGTAGGATTAGGGCAGCATCCTCGTCATCAACTTGAACATCTATATTACGCAGATCCAGCAAAATAGAGTTAAGCTGTTCGAGATGTTCTCTAAAAGGCGTACCTTCTTGCATCCTCAAGCTGAACAACCGTTGCTTGAGATGCAGCTAGTTGGTTAAGGATTTTGTCATATACAGACTCTCCAACTTTAACCACAAGCCCGCGGCAGTCTTCTCAGCAGCAACTTCAATGATGACATCATCAGACAACGATAGCATGATGGTCGAGTGGGCCTTCTCCTCCAGGGTATTCCACTCATCGTCATCGACCGCTGCCTTCTTCCGTTTCACAGACAGCGGCCCCCACAACCCTTGCTATTTTAATAAAGCCTGCATCTTGATCTGCCATATAGCGAAGCTGTTCTTCCCCGTGAACTTTTCGATCTTCATGTTCATCGACGTCATTCTTCTGAATCGAAAAACCCTAGCTTAATTTTCCAGCCGCGGTTCTTATACCACTTGTTATAAACTCGCTGCTACGGATCGGGAAATTGCCGGAATCGATAAAGCAAGAATACGAAAGAGAGAATCGGAAAACACAGACACACGATTTACGTGGTTCACTAACACGATGTGTGTTAGCTAGTCCATGAGCGAGAGAGAGCCAGTTTCACTAGATCGAGGAGATTACAGATTACAGAGGAGTATGAGAAGTATTTATAGTACTTCTCCATGTGGGTCTAAACATAATCCAATATGGAAAAGGAAACGGTTACAGACCAAGCCCAGAACCCGAACCCAAATAACATTGACTACCAGTCGTAGCGGCTGATAGTCCGATTCAAGTCACATCAACATACCGGTTAAAACTGTCATAGATCAAGTGCTTTTAATAACTCGAGTTGTTGTGAGAGCACATGTATGAAATTTAGTTATTTCCATGCACGTCGCTCTTGTCATGTACTTTAAGATTACGATTAATATTGATAGTCGTGAGGACTTGAACCACGACGCGACCTAAAAAACAAACCAATTCCAGTAACATATTGTAAACCGACCGGTCTCATTAACTCGAATTGTTGGAAGAGATCCATATGTTAATCTTGACCACTTCCTTAAAATGTCAAATTTTGATATGCCCAAATTTATTGGTAGGTGGACTCCAATTTAAGCAATTAATTGAGCTTTCATTAATATCATAAATATTTTTTTAAGTAGACGAACGTGCTTTAACGATAATTAAAATTTAGCAAATTCCAACCAACAAGAAACTTCAATGGAATGAATGAGTTTATGATTTTTTTTTTTGCAAATTATCTAAAACCGGGTGTTAAATCATCATTTCTAATAGTGAAATTAATAAATCTTAACTTTGTACAGAGAATTCATATGAAAAAATTAAATGTTGAAGAATAATAATTTTTGTTTATCCAAATGGTTGAGTCCGTTAATTTCCTTCACTAAATAGGATTTAAATATAATTTTATTATCCAATTCCTTCATCGAAACCAACAACATACACATACTTATTTTATATTGAGAGCATGTAGTAATTAATTTAGAATTTACAAGCTTGCATGTTTGGATCTTAATTAGAGAATTTAAGCAATGTATGGTTAAGATAAATTATAATTTGTCCAAATTGATTGTTGGGTAGACTTCAACTGAGCCAATTATTTGAGAGCTTCAATCTAGTCACCTTGCTTGACGGGTTCTTAGGTGGATTTTGACTAATATTGGATAACACTATGCTCAAATGGAATCTAAGGGTCAATTAACCAAAAATGGGATTTCTTGCTATGAATAAAACCTCATGCAAAAGAATAAAACTTAGCCATTCCCACAAATAATTTATTGAATAAACAAACTTGCTATATCGATTGTTACAACTTGATTTGCATGGTCCAAATACATATTTAAGTACAAACTTGACCCAATCAAACCATTTGGTAGTGTTTTCCAGTGGGTAAAACTTGTATTTGATATTAATTGATTGCACCTTTGATTTATTTGGATACCGATTAATCATACGATTCACACCACTTCAAACAAAATTCGAAAGATGATATTTGATGTTTTTGATAACTTTTTGGAAACAAGCTACGTCAAGTTACTCTATTCCAGTGAAATTTTCAACGAGAGCTCGAAGTCTCATCATATGGCTACTCTGCAAAGAAAAGGTAAAAGGTTGACATATGTTGTCAAGTGTTTGCATTGGGAACCCCTCTCCCATCTCTGTTGCTCCTATTCATAGCAAAGGCATGTAACTTCCTTAATAACAACTAGCTTGCCGATTGCTCCAATCTCCGCTTTGGTGACTAGTGGGTGTCAACTTGGGGGTAATTCCCAAAATAATATTTTTTTTTATTTACCACCAATATGGTGGTTTTAAATATAATGACACAGATATTGTGTTTTTGTGGGCAAACACACGCGGGCTCGCAGGAGACTCATTTAAATGCGGATCCAAAGTGGACTTATGTGGACCCGCAGCAGACTCATGCGAGTTCGCATAAGAGAAGAAGACCCGCTGCAGACTCACGCGGGTTCACATAAAAAAAGATACCTCTTATCTTCTTCTCCACCTCGCCCCTTCGTCCGCAGCGACGCACCCAAAACCCCTCCTCTCGCCAGAAACCCACCATCGCCCAAACCCCCATTGCCGACCACCACAAAACCCAACAATCCAACGTGGGGTCGTCCCGGACTCATGCGGAAACGACCGAGAGTCACGCGGAAGCGCAGGAAAGAAGAGCGGCCGAACAAAACCAGATCTGGGTTTTTCTGGTTTTGATGTCGGACTCCGACGAAGAACAGGCGGCCGCCGGAGGAAGAGGCCGTGGAAGAGGACAACAAGCACGCGGCCGGTACCGAGGTGAGCGATTCATCGGTAGGAAAGCCGCCGCCGGCCACCGGGAAGTCGCCGCCGGCCACCGAAATGTCGTCGCCGGCGACCGGAAACTCGCTGTCGGCGGGATTTTCTTTTCTGCTTCTATTTTTTTTTTGCTGTTCCTATGATTCTTGACAGGCATTCCACGAGACGACCACCTGCGACGATAGATACAGCTCTGGTCGATTCAGTACTCCTTTGGGCACATGGTCAACATCGTGCCGACTCAGTTTGGATTAACGAGGTAAGTATTTTATGTATTTTATTTCATTAAAGTTCATTAGCTAGTTAGATTATAATTTTGTGAAATTAGTATTAGTTTGATTAGATATATTTTACTAAATCAGATTGATTTTACTAGGTAAATTGAAATATTATAATTGTATATAAAATTTTGTGAAATTAGTATTAGTTTTGATTATATATCTTTTCCTAAATTTGATAGATTTTACTAGGTCAACTGAAATATTAAAATTGCATGTGAAATTTTGTGAAATTATTATTAGTTTTAGATTTTGTGAAATTAGTACTATTTTGATTAGATATATTTTACTAAATTAGATTGATTTTACTAGGTAAATTAAAATATTATAATTGCATGTGAAATTAGTATTAGTTTTCATTACATATATTTTTAGTAAATTAGATAGATTTTACAATATGTTCTGAAAATAGAATTACGCCATGAAATTGAATTAATATAAGTTTTGTGCACTATAGGCTGGTGATCGTGTTTACCAGACTCGATGTACGACCAAATTGGTCACATACCATCCACGTTATGAACCGTATCTCCAGGATGCCGGTTTGTTTAGCGTTCAGCAGTTGGTCCCTATGACTGGTTGTATAGATGCATCTTTGATCACCGCTCTAGTAGAGCGTTGGCGTCTTGAGACATCGACATTTCATATGCCGGTCGGTGAGGTTACGATCACTCTTGAGGACGTTGCCACACTGAGCGGTTTACCGATCGACGGTGAGGCCGTCATAGTAGACGTACCAGATCGTGAGTGGTCGGAGACGTGTACCAGATTGTTAGGACATGCTCCTAACGATCTTAGCGGGGGTGTCGTTAGGCTTAGTTGGCTTAGGGAGCATTTCAACAATCTGCCGCCAAATGCATCAACAGAGATTACAGGGCAGTTTGCACGAGCGTATGCCCTATCTTTGATTGGGTTTATGTTGTTCCCCGATCGGACTGGAGCTACAGTTCACCTGCAGTATCTACTCCTGTTGGAGAATTGGCAGACCGCAGGAGGCTACGCTTGGGGAGCAGCTGTTCTAGCCTACCTGTACCGTGATATGGGTAGGTCGGTTCTGCATATGACGCAGTCCTCTTCCACCGGAGGTGACCTTGGTGGCTGGGTCGCCTTGTTGAAGCTCTGGGCGTGCGAGCGATTCCCATTGATAGCACCCCGAAATACAGTGACGGATGAGCCTATTACAGCGGACGCATCTCCACATGGTGCTCGATGACTTCCGACCATGACCCGTCAGCATGGTGACCAACTCTTCAGTTATAAGTTGTTTTTTGACGAGCTGGAGACGATCGTGGTTAGTAATAACATTTCATACAAGAATAGTTTTTGGTTAACATTAGTTTGTTTTAGACTAAGTTGTAATAATGTGCCCACATTTCTGTGCAGTGGCTGCCTTACTGGGAGAGAGACCTGCAGTTTAGGGGTTCCGTTCCCCAGTCAGATACCTTCCGAGCAGTGGTTCCACTGATCTGCTTTTCAGTAGTGATGTGGCACCATCCAGATCGGGTACTCCGACAGTTTGGCATGATGCAGAACGAGCTTCATCATCCAGCTCCTGAGGCTGAGATTAGGTGGTTTCTTCGCCAGACAGCTCGTGGGCCATCGCGAGTGCAGCAGTTGATGCACGCCTCCAGAGAGTCGATTGATTTGTGGAGTCGTCGACATGAGTATATAGCGACTAGGCCATATGCTCAGGAGACTCTAGCCTACCACTCGGAGCATCTCGAGTGGTATCGAGATGTTACTAGACGTGCAGTCACACGGAGAGCAACAGGAATTAACGCAGCGGTTAGGAATTTATTATTTCAAAATAAAATTTTAGTGGATTGAAATTTATAGTTGTGTGGAATATTTGATATATTAAATAAATTTGCAGTATGACACCTTTGAGTACGCTGAGCTGAGATTACGGGAAGGAGAGTTGTCCACAGACGACATGATGGTGGCCGGGATTGCTGCTCTAGGTTTGGATTCTCGCCGACATCATGATATGCAACCACAGTCATCTGATCCTAGCGTTGACCCATGGCCAGATCCTAGCGTTGAAACTTGTCCCATAACAAGCCAACACTGTTTCCAGGTTATAGATGTCATTTACAAACCTATACGGGTTAGCCCCCATTCGGTTGCAAGCTGCAATGGCATGAGAGCAAGGAATTTTATTTCCTTGGAATTTCCCACAAGTGCAAAATCCCGCTCGATTGTGGTCATCGAAATGCACTGTGAGTGTGTTCGAACCCAACATGTTGAAATTGTTGGGAGGAGTCTGTACTACATAGATGCCCTGACGTCGATCAACCCCCGTCACGGAATGTCCAACTGCCTTTTGTGACCATCTCTTCATCTTCTCTTCGCACTTGATGGTGTACTGTGAAGGTCCACTCTGATTTGTGCTTCTGTCTCCAACCTCATCTTATCGAATTTCTTCAATAATCGCCAACAAGTATGTTGCACAAGAGAAGCTATAGGAAGTGAACGAATACCTTTGAAAACACCATTGATGCTCTCTGCCATGTTAGTCGTCATCATAGACCATCGAGTCCCACCATTATAGTTATCATGTGCTAAGCTCCAACGAATTTGATTTTGATCCACCCAGTTATCACAAGAAATATTTCTTTCAGTAGCCATCTTCTTAAATTGCTCAACTTGACGATCGAACTTCTCCAAGCGTTTTTCTCGTGCTAACAAAATAAATAACCACAAGAGTTAGATAAATTCATGATAATATTAAATTAAAATAAATAATATGTTGGAGTGTCAATCAATAACGATGAAGAGACTTACCAACTCGAACCAGTTGGTTATAAATAATTTTGCTTTTTGTCTTCTTTTTCAAGTTGCTTGCATAGTGTCGCATGCACCACCTCCACTCCCAACCTCTTTCGATGTCACCCATGGCTTCATAGAGTCCCGCATGTCTATCTGAGATGATGCATACGTCATTTCGATCGGTCAAACCTTGAACGCGATTTATAAATCATGGCCAACTTTTAGTATTCTCGCTCTCCACAATGGCAAATGCTATTGGAAAAATCTTCTTCCGACCATCAAATGAGTTCGCCATGAGTAGCACTCCTTTATACTTTCCAGTAAGAAAGGTTCCATCAACAACCATGACTCCTGGACAATTCTTGAATCCATCTATACAAGGTCCATAAGCCCAGAATACTCGCTGAAAGATCGAATGACCTGGTTGAGCTGAAGGAACTCTTACCCAATCAATAACTGATGTTGGCATTTTTCTCTTTACCACCCGCAAGAGCGTTTGCAAATAATCATAGGATTCTTCCCAATTTCCATGCAACTTCTCCAATGCTCTTTGTTTCCCATACGAAGCCTTCTTATAAGTAACTTGCATATTAAATTTATCTTTCATCTCGGCTTGCACAGTTAGAACACTCAGATTAGGTTGGGCACGTACCAAATGTTTCACGGACTCAGATATAACGTCGACATCAAGATGGCGATGATCTGTCGGTTGAGTCGTATTGCTACAAGAATGCACCAACTCGGCCTTCCTCACAGTCCATTCGCTTCCAACGTCTCGACATCCAAACCGCACCATCTAAGGACAATTTTCATCCTTATGCTTCAAGCATCTAACCTTCCAGATTGAAGGTGAAGACTCCACCACGCCATACTGAAAGTTGCATTGTAGTGTGTGGTGTTTAACCACCACCTGTGCAGCTTGTTTCGAGTGAAATATCTGGCCTTTGTAGAATTCCCCTTCAAAACCAGTAACGATAGGCATTGGAATTATCCCATATGAATCAACATATGATAATTCATCATCCTCTTTATTAGCCTGCAAGTAAAAATATGGAGGAAAGTTAGGCTGCTCTTCTTCCCCATCTTCCTCCTCCTCATCCTCATCCTCCACCTCTTCCTCCTCCTCCTCCTCCTCCTCCTCGTCGTCGTCCTCATAATCATGGTCAGATGGCACACTCCATGTATCATCTTCACCCTGATTAGCCTGGCTAATCTCAGCATGTACCTCAGCACCCAAACAATAAGGATTTTGTGCCATAAAATCGAAAAGCACATTCAAACCATCATCATCCACAATAGGCATCGCATAATGAAATAGAACACCATTCTGCCATTCTGGAAGACGGTAAGTGAAACCCGTGATCATATCACTATCTTGTACTGCTTCGTCTCTACGTCGTATTCTCGGGATTAGATTCTCACAAAATTGATGATATGTCACCCGACATGGAACTGTCAACTGAAACCTTCTACCACCAACGAAATGAACGCCGAAATTGTCATCTACTTTCTCCGATTTCCACCAAACAATTAGTTCAAATTTCCTAAAATCACTACATAACAAACAAATGCACTAATTACTAACTTAAAAAAAATTTAATAGCATTTTAATAATATAATTACAAAAATAAATGTCTCTTACCTAGCCATCTTTGCAGCAACCAACAGAGCTCCTCCCTCTCGTTTTCGTAGAAGTTTTTGGGGTGGTGATACTGAAAGGAGGAGAATGGAGGAGAAAATATATATGCTGGAGTGGATAAAACACAGGCCGAATCCACATGAGACTAATGCGGGTCCGTTGAGTCCATGCGTTTCTGCACCAGTCCCACGCGAGCCGCGCCAGTCCCACGCGGGTCCGCCCAAGTCCATTTCGGATCCGCATTTCAAACTAGTAAAATTGAGTCTCCTGCGAGCCTGCATCTCTTTCCCCACAAAAACACAATATCTGTGTAAATATATTTAAAACCACCATATTGGTGGTTAATAAAAAAAACAATATTTTGGGAATTTTCCCGTCAACTTGGTAGCCTCAGTGCCACGCTATATTGATGGTGAGTTGAATTTAACATGAATCACATACTCGGAATGATGATTATGAGATGAGTGCATTGAATACACTAAAAAAAGTGAGTGCACCAAAGACGTCACCATCATACTTGACATCATTGGGGGTTCTTTTGTTCACCCCTCCTTTGCAAGATTTTGAGGAATCAAACTGGTGAAATAATGTTTTTTTGCTACTCTTTTGATTTTATTATGAGTGAACTCTAAACCGAATATTCAAAATATCTTCTTTATCATAAAATTCTATTTAAAAAAAAAATATAGAGGCGGATGAAATGATCCATTTGGTAGATAATGAACATCATGTAAACTATTGATTTGTTATTAACCACAAACATAAATGATCGTTTATGGTATTAAGTATTAACCACTAGCAACGAATGACCATTATTCATTATGACTTTTTACCCCAGTTGTAGTACACAAATCAAATATTGATCAATCCAAAAAGTCACCTCCTCTCTTTAGTCACCAGTGTTCTAGAATGGGGTTGGGTAATGAGCTATATGACACACATATCCAACCTAATAATTGTTTACTTCAAAAGTCCTCCATTCCTGGCCACTCCCGGCGGCTTGGACGGTCGCCGTTCATTCCATGCGGAGATAAAGTATAACATGAAAATGACCGCCAATACTGCTTTGTTTATTTCTTTGCAAAAGTCTTAGCAACGGACAGGTTATCAGTGACGATGTGCAGTGTTACATAAACAAAAGACTAAACTGCACCACGCCATGTATCATACATTAAAATTCCCACCCAAATGCGGAAAGAAGGTTTGATGAATGATGATGGTTGTCACATGCCCGGTGTGTCGATCGATACAATCCCCGGTGTGTCGATCGATACAATCGGGTTCAACTAGTACTAATTATAAAATTGATTGAAATATCTCCCGCCTGATGCATGATTTTCGATTTTTTAAATAAAATGATATCATTTAGGTAATTTTCATTAAAAATATTATAGTTTTTAATTTGTTTCTTGAATTTAAAAGTTAAATATTGATGTTAATTGTTGGATTAAGTATGAATGTTTAGATGCTATGTTTTTGACAAAATACACTTCCATAGCCACAACTATCAGATTTGTGACAAATAGCCACATTTATCGAAACACACGAAATAACCATTTCCATCAACTCCGTTAACTACGTTAGTTAAAGGGATGACTGGATTGACGGTGAATGTTTAGTTAGCGTTTTCCTGGCCGCACTAACTGACGTGGATTAAAAGAGAAAAAAATAAAAAAACACACATCAGCGATAACTCAGCCTCACTTGCCACATAGACGCCACGTCATAATTCACTTTTATTTAATATATACATTCTTTCATTTATTTTTCTTTTCCATTCTTTAATCGCACCCCTAATCGGCTCG